GAAGGTTTCCAGATGGATATGCGGAGCAAATCCATCTGGCGGTGTCAGGTTAGGGCTGTTTCACTTCAGGACAAATCAAGACAGCTGATTCAAAAGATGCTTAGGAGCCTGGCAGATCAATTGACGGGTCTTACCATTTCAATTGCTAAAGACGTTCGTCACCTATGTGAAGGTGGAGAGTTTCTGCCTGGAATGGTGTTTGGTGTGAAAGCACCTTCATGTTGGTTCTTTATAAAAGGCTCATCATCAACAAGAAGTTAGGTCTACTCAGAATTATGAGGGTAGTTGAGCTTTACAAACAATCTGTGCACCTTGCACATACTAACATTTCTAAGTTCAAAAAAAGATTTTTTGAGGCAACCGGTTTGCATATTTTTTTACTGTAAAGCAAACTTTGTGCATTTTACAGTGTAGATTAATGAAGGATGTTTTCTGCTGTAATGAAAGCTGTTCATTACTCTGCTGCCTTTAAAGCTCCAGCTCCTTTTACTGATTTTTAGGAGACTTTTTCTTCATGAAGATCTGAGACAGAGACTGTGTTTAAAGCAGAAAGCTGGAATCATCATGTTTTTTAGACACGTTTTAAAGCCTTAAATCTGAGGAACTACTTGAGGAAGAGGTGAAAACTAACAGTGAAACCGTGGCGGTCCCTGAGATGTCCAATTCCCTGATAAACGGTCCCAGGACCAGACATCCATGATGGATAGATCAAGTTAATCTGGAGTCGAGGTCGGAGAAATGGATCACCTTCTGAGGCCCAAAGCAGCAGAACATGAATCAGATCAGAAAGCTGTTTGATGTGAGCTTCCTGCACAACAGCACCAGAACTTGAGGCTTGAGGGTCTGAACTGGAGACAATAAACAGATTCTAAACTGACACACCAAATATTTCCAGAGCAGCAGAACAATATCAACAGTTTTTCTGAGTGTGAATTAAATCCTGTCGCAGTTTCAGTGAGATCAAAACCTTGTCTTCGGGTGAAGAACAAAAACGAAGAAAAATTAACTGAAAGATCTCGATGTTTAATAGAATGAGGTAAAACCAGTTTAAAAGTGTGACTATAAGATAAGCTACCAGTTATCTGGCACCAGGATGAGTTAAAGATGCATGTTAAAAATGTATTTAACCTCCCCCAGATCTACTCAACTTGTATCATATCCTAATGTAAATACAACAAACAGCCTCCAAATTATGATATTTTAAGGAAACAGAGGCGTCCGAACATAACTGTCCCTCTTTGAGAATACATCTCCCACTTGTTAAATCATCAATTAACTGTGATTAACTAAATTTCCAAAATACATCTTATTAACCAACCAGATACATGCTTACAGCCAGACATTGAGAATTAAGAAATTATTTAAATAGACCCTCCCTGACTACATGAAATCGACTTAAACATTTCTTAATGTGTCCAAATCTAAAGAACATGAGGAACGAAATCAATTAGACACAAAATCATTCCCATCTGTCAGTCTTGAAAGTTGCAAAACGGTTTGCGAATCATCTCCGCCTCCAGAGAACCACGGAGGAGAAAACATGCAACAGCAAAGAATCTTCCCAGGAGTATTTTACCGACCAAAATGACTTCAAAAGCATCAACAACTCATCCAGAAGGTCACATAGGAATCAAGAACACTTACAGCTCTTCAAGCTTGGCTGCCTCAGTTAAGGCCAAAGGTCATTATTCAACAATGAGACGGAGATAAAGATTGTGCCAAAATGTTGCTCACCAGTTTGTGAAATTCAGGCTAAACTTACTTGAGTTTGACAACTGGCCAAAGGTTAAAGTAATAGACCCAATAGTTTGTTTGTTGATGACCAGGAACAAAATATAAACCTAAACTGGAATTAACAGAATTCATTTTTAGGTCTCTGGACGTCAGGCTGTCATCGCCTTCTATTTTCTTCAACATTTCGTGGCTGCCAGGGACAGTGTTCCTGGACCGGCACACCGGGGTAGTGGTTCCACTCCATAAGAAGGGGGGAGCAAAGGGTGTGTTGCAGGTATAGGGAGATCACATTTCTCAGCCTCCACTGGAAGTCCTATACCAGGGTACAGGAGAAGAGAGTCCAGCTGGCTGTAGAACCTCAGCTTCAGCAGGAGGACTGTGGTTTTCTTCCCGGCCTTGGAACAGTGGACCATAGCTACACCCTCTGCTCGAGAGTTCATGGGAGTTTTCCTAACCAGTCTACATGCGTTTTGTGGACCTGGAGAACGCATTCGGCCATATCTGCCGTGGTGCCTTGTGGGGAAAGCTCCGGGAGTGCACTCAGGGACCCTATACTACGGGCCATCTGTTCTGTGTTCAAGCACAGCAGGAATTTGTTCCATCTGACCTGTTCCCAGTAGGACTCCGGCAGGGCTGCCCTCTGTCACCGGACATGTTTTGGAGATGACATGATCCCACAGACTCCCTCCTGACAAGACCTACAGCATGCATTGGGCCTGTTCACAGCTGAGATTGAAGAAGCAAGGATGAGAATTAACTCTGCAATTTTCGACCTGAAAAAGGTGCCGGCCCCCTTCAAGCTTCAGGGGTAGTTCCCGTCTCAACTGGAAGAGTTCAAGTATCTTAGGGTTCATTTAATGGGTGAGGGGAGAATAGAGCAGAAGGTCAATAGAGGGATCAGTGAGCTGCCGATAAAACGCAAAGTAAACCAGGAGGCAAGCTCTTGAATTACCTTCTGGTCACCGGTCTGACCCTCATTCATGAAATAGGGATCAGTGAGATCCTGGATATAAGTGGCTGAAAGGAGCTTCCTCTGCAAGGTGGCTGGGCACTCCCATAGAGACAGGTTCAGGTGAAGAGCTTGGTCATGTAGAAGAGGCTCAGAGGCATTGCGAGGGGTCAGCTGAGGTGGTACAGACTTCTTTTTTAAGATGCCCACTGGACCCTTCCCTCGGATGGTGCTCCAGGCAAGGAGGAGGCACAGGGGACGGCCATGGACATGCTGTAGGGACCATGTCTCTTGGCTGGGCCGATAACGCCTCAGTCCTCAGTCTGGGCATCTCTGAACACGGCTGCCTCTGCAACCCAGTCACGGATAAGTGGAAGACGATGATGTGGAACCCTTAATCAGAATAAAGGAGCCTTATGCAATTTAGATTCTGAGGTGCGCAAAATAACATAATCTCCATAAAAATGTACACTAATCTGTTAATTGTGATGTTTTTCCAGTGAATTTTAATAGTCTCTGCATGACTCCATGGATGTGATTCCAGACCCTAAAGACCCCCCACCTCGATAAACGATGCTGTCCTAAAAGTTATCTTTGATGCTGTTAAAGATTTTCAAAGAATGCTGAGCCCATAGAATTAAGCATAATACATAAAACAGATGAAGATCTAAGTCATTTTTCTCAGCTTCCTGCCAAGTACAGGCATATCGGGTCACTCATGGGTCGGTTCTTAACTGAACAGTTGTTGTTCACAGCCGACTGAAAACCAAGCCCTTCACAAAGAGTTGCTGAACCCACCTGTCCACAGAGATGGCCAACAGTGCATTGGTGGACACATACAGTGAGACGGTTCGTAGGTAGTTGATGGAGGCGCAGAGCAGGAGGCCATGGTCCCACGACAGCTTCTTCACCACATAGTAGTCCAGCAGGAAGGGACAGCACACGGCGGCCACCAGGACATCAGACACCGCGAGGTTGACGATAAACAGATTGGTCAGGTTCCTGAGCTGCCTGAAACGGGCCAAGCTGGCGATGAAGAGGCAGTTTCCCACGCCACAGATTAGCATGATGCTAACCAGAACCATGCTGATGATGATGGTGGCCACAAAGAAGGCCAAACCCTTTGTTGTGTCTGGGATCTCTTCTGGAGGAACCTCATAGTCCAGGATGTAGCTAACCAGGAGATGGTCAGCCAAGCTGCTGTTGGTCAGATTGTCCATTTTGAATCAGGTCGGCATGGTCAAGGTTTTATATCTGGAAGTTCAGAAAGAAATTAGGTTACAGTGAATGGCTCCCTGGAGGTGATGGAGCTTAAGATAAAGAAAGCAAAAAACAACAAGACTCAGATTAATGATCTGAAAATGGTTGAATTAACCAGGTCAGGAGGCTCCTGTACACGACTGTTTTAAAATGTTCATGAAGGAGCTGATGAAGGTCCCTAAACCTTTCACCTCTATATCCCTCAGCTTCTTCACAAGAGCGCTTCAGGCGGCTCCTTCAGTGAAAGACTGTCGCACTTTAGGTCCCCAAAGGAGCGATACCACAGATCCTTCCAGCTACGGTTAGACTTTCTAATCAATCACTGCTTCCAACAGGCCAGATGAGTGATCACATCCATGCTGCTGGTTTTCAGCTTTTTCTACGGTATTTTTCTACCTTTTTGCTGTTTATGTTCCCCCCCCCCATTTCATTTTAAATTAAATTGACTTTACTTTAAATGAGCTGCTGTTTGTCTTTTTTATCTCATACTTTTCCACTGAATTCGATTATGCCATTTTTGGATAACTGCTAACCCTTTTAGATGATATTTTTCATATTTTCCATTATTCTGTTAACCTTTATGCTTTTGTAACCAATTGGCTTGGCCACATACCCACTTAAATTTCCCCCACTGTGGTTCAAAGAGGAGTTTCTGAAAAGCAAGTCTTTAAATGTTGTTTAAAATGACCAATCCAAGCAGCAGCTCAGCTCCAAGCCTTCATTTTGTGAGTAATATGTAAAAACCTAGGGTTTGGTGGTTGATTCTGGTTGGGTAAAAATGAAGCAAACCTGCGGTTGGTTCTGTTTGTCTGGAAGTTTATAAATTTCTCGTTTCATAGATGGAGTTTCTGGTTGCTGCATTCATGTGGAGCAGCTGTTAGATTCAGCAACCAGCTGAGGAATGTCACATCTGAACTCAGAAATGCTCTTTATATGAGAACATGTCATCAGCAACAGGTTGGACTGCTTTTCACTCAGGAAGCCATGGAGACTTTCAGTCTGTCTCCAGTTTCCCGCAGCTTTAGTCATTTTAGACCCAACAGGAGCTGCTCTGGATTTACAGCCATATTTTAAATCAGACTGAGTCATGGTGGAGCGGTGTGGCTGCTCCAGGTCTGCTGGAGGATCTCCAGCATGTTTCTGCACACAAAAAGATCTAAGCTTTCTCAGAAAACTGAATCTGTTTAGCATCTCATTTCAAACATCTGACCAGACTCAAAATCCCAAACCCTCCAGCCTCCGCCTGCCTCTGGAGGACTCAGAAGCAATTTGATTTTTATAGTTAAATATAAAAATGCTCTGATTTGTTGTTGAAATAAAAGGAATGAAAACATCCTATTTAAGACCCTGGAACTCAGCCTGACGGTGGGACAGTTTCACTGATCCTGGTTCAGCTGCATCCCAGCAGAGGATCCGGGGAGCTTGAAGGATCAATCCTCCAGAACATCAAAACCAGCCAAGAGCTCAGAATCAGCTTCATTAAAACAGCTTTTTCTATGAAACCCAATCAGGCGGTTCCGATCCAGACTGAGGACGACAAAAAAAAAGAAAGCTGAAAACACGAGAGAAGATTTAAAGACAAACCTGCAGCTGCTGCTCATCTGGAGGAGGAGACGAGAACCAGCCTGAGAGCTTTCCCGTCGAACAGCGGATCCTGATGATGATGCAGAGAGGAGCAGCCCGACAGGAGGAGCTTCAGCTGCAGGTCTGTCCACTCCTGCTGCTTCTCTGTGTTTTTCCAAATAGTTCCAGAAAACCGGTCCAGAATTCAGGTCCTTTTGCAAACCTGCTGGAAGTCAGCAGGATTTGGTCTAAAATATCTATGATGCTCTTAGACAAATTTCAGCATCTCCAGGTTCATCTGCAGGTCAGCAGCAGACAATCCTCTTCCATCGACCTCATTGTGAGCAGCCTGGAGGATGTGGAGCCACCTGTCAGTAGAAGACATGTCCACAGCCTCTCCATCCATCCAAGATGGGCTTGGCTGTTTTTTTTCTGGTATTTTACACTATTTTAAACAAACATAGTATTCAGAACCCAAAGGCAGAAAAAAAAAAACAGTCCACAGAAGTAAAGGATAAAAAAAAAAAAAAATGTCATCATAAGCCTTAATAATGAACCAGAACATTGCAGCTTTTTTTTATTATTATTATGGAAGCAGAGCTAAGGAAACCCTAGAAGCTTAATATTTATGCAGGGAAGTTTGTTCCAGGATTGTTACAAATAAAGAAAATGTTTTATAAATGAAATAAAAAACACATTTTTATAAATTGGAAAAAAAAAAGCAATCTAGAAATGAAAATTTGGTACCTTAATTTAGAATATATTAAACATACATTAAGAGGGTCCAGTGATCTGTTTTATTAATAAAATATTTTGAATGGAAACCTGATGGCCAAGACCTGCAGAAGTTAAGTTCAAATAATAAATAAGGCTTTTCTTTTTCTTGTATGTATAGGAATATGTACGGAAGAGGATTAGGGCCACTGAAAAAAAAAAGTAAACTGATTTTTAAATTTTATTTCAGTTTAAGAAATGGAAAAAAGTCAGAATTCTGAGACTTTAATCTCAGAATTCTGACTGAATTCTGACAATAAAAAAAGCCTGAGATTAAAGTTGGAATTCTGAGAAATAAGTCAGAATTCTGAGATTAAAATCATAATTCTGACTTCTTTTCCCATACTATACTGAAATAAAACAAAAAAAAAATCAGTTACCTTTTTTTTTTTTCAGTGGCCCTAATCCTCTTCCGTAAATATGGGCACATATATGCATATAAATTACATTTTATTACCTTATTTTTCCTCTTTGTTTTTTGGTCTAAGATGTACATGTGTATATAAATGACTCAGTAATGTTTTATAACTTTTTGATTTTGTGGGTAGACGCACAGTAGTTCTG